ACAATCGTGTCTGAACCATCCGCTCCAGAAGTTTGCATATAGAGGAGGTCAGCGCAGTTGGACGGTAGTCGATGGATCCTTCCCATTCTTACCAGGCCTTAGCAGCGGAACTTTTAGCGACTCCCGCCAAGACGTAGGAACTCTCCTGTCTCCCACAACTGGTTGAATGTCACCGACATAGCTTGTGTTGCTGTTGATGGAAGTCGCCGGAGCCTATCATTATGAATGATATCCGGGCCTTCCGCCACTCTGCGCAGGACAGTTAATGGCAGACATCAGTTCAAGCATTGTGAAAGGTTTGTTATATGAAAACTCTTCGGCTGTATGAAAGTTTATCTGGGCTGCTTCGCAAAGAGCACGATGGCGTATGAAATCGGGAGCGGCAGCTGTTCGCCCACAACGTTCCGCGAACACACGAGCCATTTCATTCGCCACCTTAGATGGGTCCAGTATGTCCTGCCCATTTACACGGAGCACGGGGTGCGGCACTGAGGAATGTTGGCCTGCTATACGCTTCACCTGCGCCCAAACCACCGAAGCCGGCGTTTGGCAATTAAGCTGACCCACATATAAACGCCAAGACGTGCGCTTGGCCTCCAAGATAGTTCGTCGGCTGCCGCCCGAGGTCGTTGAAAAGTGATTAAGTTGTCCATAGTGCTGTGCCGATCAAAGTCTCGCAGGGCTTTTTTACGCGCACGTTTAGCGTCGCGGCATTGGTCTGTCCACCACGGAACAGGGGACGACGTGGGACACCGGATGTACGTGGTGTGCTTTCTTACGCCGATCGTAAGATTGTGGAGGTAAGTTCCTCTACAGATGCAGGCACATCCACCAAAACGGAGGCATCCTGGTTTCCACCCGTGCCTGAAATGCATCCCATTCAGCCTAAGATTTCACCGTTGTAGCCTGGAGCCGAGAGCTGCCCGTTCTGGTAAGTGGGGTAGTGATCACTACCAAATGAGTCGTTTTCAACCGACCATGTCAGGCGTACCGCCAGTTGGGCGCTTGCAAAACTCAAGTGCGGCGCCGATGTCTGACCTCACGGCAGCGTCATGTGAGTTCGGGTCCCGGTGTTTAAAAGACAGAGAAATTTATCATGTAAAAAAGTTTCGCAATGACTGCCGCGAGTGTTGGCCTGGGCGTAACCCCAAGATGTGTGGTGAGCATTGAAGTCAACCAGCAAATGAAGAGGCGGAGGAAGCTTGGCCAGGGGAAGCCCGGCCACCAGAAGTCTCATTTCTGCCGTCGGAAACGGAGTACCAGGAGGTGAGTAAAGCGAGCAGACGATTATCGCACGACGTCCGAAAATTACCTTAGCTGCAACAGTTTGCAGGTCAGAGTGTAAGACGACGCGTTGGACGGAGGCACTGTGGTGCACAACCAAAAGAACTCCGCCGTGTGCAATTGAATCAGCTGGCATATTCCGACGCATTACGGTGCAGCTCGGGATACTAAACTGAGAGCCAGGTGCCAGGTTGGTCTCCTGCAGGGAGGCGACGGCCGGACAGCGCTGACTCAGAATGACTGAGATCGTGTAGACTAGTTCTCACGCCTCTGTAGTTCCACTGTAAGATACCTGTCATGGAGCTAAGATGTGAGGGGAGCCACTACACACCTAGCTGACCAGCAAAGCACGCAGAATATCACGGTCGGGACGCCTGCAAAGGGTGTACTAAAAAAGGGGTCAAAGTCACACTTTAAGACGCGACACGGTTCAAAAGAACTGGGCTGCGCCTGTTGCAGGACCGGACACTTCGGTCTGGAAGTTACGGCTCGATTCCGTAGAGCGGTGCTCCACGCTGGGCCGAATCCTTGAGCTTCCTCCGTCAGATGGAGACGGAGGAACGGCTGGGGGGGGGGGGGGGGGGCGCTTTGTGCGAGCTTGCCCAATCCTGGGTAGCGGAGGAGGATCCATGGATGGGACCCTGCCAGACGTCTGTGGACCAGCAGGGGGCTCAACTGGTCTTCTGGGTGATGGAGTACTGCTGCGAGGGACGGACGCCTTTCCCGCCCCGGACATACGGTTCGCAGCCTTTACCCTTTGCTGTTCGGCCAAGCGCGCCCGCTTGGCATCGCGGGCGCGAATGTCCGCCTCGTGCCGCTCCAACGTTTCTATCGCCAGACCGCATGCGTTCGCTAGTGGTGTCCGAGGTGACGAAGGCAGTGGAGCACACGAAGCGGAGGCGGACGAGGGTGGCGAAGGAAACCGACGCGGAGGCCGGTGGAGCCCGCGGGCCACGGCCGCGCCAGGCCACCGTCCAACCCTCCTCTCCGGCAAGAGACAGCGGCGCCGGGGACCAACATGGTGGGTGCCATTTGGGTGTGGGTGTTTTAATTTCGATGCATACGAGAGCTTAGGATGACTCGCATCATACAGGCCTCTGGCCCCTCGGAAAGATATGTTTTTTGACGTTTTTAGCCAAAGTACTTCCTTTTCTCTGACGAACGCTGGACATGTACGGCCAAACACAGTGTGTGGTATTTGGTCCTTACCACAGTTGACGCAATAAGGCTGGTCAACGGTGCATTTGTCACTCAGTTCGGTCGTGGACGAACACTTGCTCCGCATGTTATTGGACAATGGGGTTTCGTATGGCCGAACCGTTGACATTGGAAACAGCGCATTGGGTTGGGAACGAAGGACAGGCTTTCACGCGGGCATAGCCCACACAGATATCTGGATGGTAGATCTGGACCATTGAAAGTGAGAATGATGCTGTTGGTAGCATTCAGTTCTCCTCCTCTCCTAACCAGGGTTCTGCGCGCAACGGTTACACCGAACTCCGAAACATCATCGACGATTTCGCCCTCTCTTACAGCGCGAAGGTCAAAACAATTTACGACACCTCTAGATGATTTTTTTGTGTTGTGTGGTGCTACGTCAAAGCTACGGTTTTGTCATGTTTCCCGTTCTCATCACAAATACAATAAATAAACTCCTTCGCTTCTAATGCACGCTTGGCCTCCAGACTACTGGAGAACCCTACCTCGATGTTGCCATCCCTCAGCTCGTCACATCTTGTGATGTCTCCAAACTTGTCACAGCCGTTGCTTCGTTGGAACGGTGACAGCGCGGAAAGCTTTACATCTCCGCTGGAGAAGATCAGAATCCGAGGGCAAAGGGGGGGGGGGGAGGTAGAATCCCCCTCGCACCCGGGCCTCAGCGCTGTCCGACCCCCTTTCGGGGGCCAGGTGCTTGTTGAGTTTTGATAAGCCATGCGATTTCTGGCAAGCATTCGGCACCGGGGCTCCCCACCCACCTCGGAGCCCAACTGGGGGACGGCCCAACACTTCCTCGGGAGGTGGTCGTCGTCAGGGCTACCTCGGTGCTATACGGGGCGAACGACGTCTCCCGCACGGCCAGGTGTAACCGGGGAGTACGTAACGTAACCCTCTCTTTCCTGACCGTGGTTCAGCGCCGTCGCCCCTCGGCCCTTTAAGCCGCTGCGCGCGGTCAGGCGCCCCAAGCGGAGACCCGCACAGGAACACCCAACCGTAGCGCGAGCGACAAGCCGCTAGACCCGTGTGGGGCACCACGGGCCTCCCACGCCCCAGGATATACTGGCAAAAGTGGAGTGTTGAGGCGCGCCGCGACTGACCTGCACGACGCGCCCCTCAGCCATCAGGATCCGATCAACCCGGGGACGCGAGCGAGGAGGCACGGCGACCCCGATAAAACGAGGATTAGGAGTGGTGAGTGGGCTGGATGCGGGAAATGGGAAGGGAACGGGCGGGACAAGGAACAGGAGCTCACGTACCGGCAGGGTCGCTACGCCCTGAGACGAACAGCTTGCGCTGTCCACCAGTTACCAGAGCTGGGACCCGAAGGGGCGCTAGTCCCTTCCACTGGCCACAACCGGTGCCCATGCGAGGTGCGATGGGACTGAGTGGCCGTTCAGTTCTTGACGGTGAACAACATATTGCGCGGTGATGTTTGTTTGCAACGGGGCCCCTTTACCGGAAAGAAATAATGGGTTTGGTTAGTGTTGCATGGAGGAGGTCGAAATGAGTTCAAAACACACAAGGCCATTCCATATTCCCCTGAGGACGTTCATTATTTTGCAGGGTCGACGATTGAAACAAATAACATCAAAATATTGAGCCTGCCCGCCGGGTACCGAAAGTGTCGTGCTTAACGCACCTGTGTTAATCACTGTGCGTTTTAGTTACAGGTTTTAGGGTTTTAGGTTTTAGTTACTAAGATATGCGAGCGCGCTTGCTCAAAACTAAGTTACATACTTTGCACCACGAATCAATCCTTACTGAATGCTGAACTTATCCAAGCAAACATGGCTCGATCATGTTTATATAACTTGTTGATTCATTTTGGTCGTCAATCCACATTCGTGGAATCCTTGCAATTTCTCTTTACAGCGCAGATAAAAATTCTTACCAAGTTTCTGACTCCATCATCATCATCGGTTTAAAAAGAGTCCACTGAACCATTGTAAATAAGCAGCGCTGGCGATTCAAACATTGTTACACAAATTGAATTCAATAGTCATTCCGGGTATAATTATCTATATACATATATATGTATATATATATATATATATATATATATAGATATATAGATATATGTATATATATATAGATATAGATATAGATAGATAGATAGATAGATAGATAGATAGATAGATAGATAGATAGATAGATAGATAGATATATATATATATATATATATATATATATATATATATATATATATAATGTATATATGTATATATGTATATATATGTATATATATTATCTATATATGTATATATATATATGTATATATATTATCTATATATGTATATACATGTGATATCTAAGAAAATGTGTCGTCATGAACAAATGGGGCATATCCGGTGACTTTTTGGGAAAGGGGCTTTGTCAACTCCGTGCACCCGCTCGCCAAGGCTCTGACTGCATTCCTGAACGGATATTTTATGGACCGATCGTACCTGCTGGACCTGCTGCCGACTTCAGGGCTGCGCGTAATCCGTAGTCCACCCGTAGTGTGGAAGGCAGTAGGTTCACATGGTGTGCACCGAGCCCGTGGTGTATTTTCAGGTGGTTATGTTGAACTACACTAATGTTTCAATATACGCGCCCGTTGCGGCTTGGGTTCTTGTGGCGCGGCCCTCGGAAGACTAATACCGTGTTTCGGCGGAGTTGCGGTAATGGGGCGGTGTCGCATGCGTGCGTTTGAATATGCGTGTGTTAAGGTCGTTGGATGTTGTTGGGTAGGTTATGAAGTTGCGGAACCAGCCCTCGGACAGCCGGGAAAGATAAGGTCTTAGTGTGAATGGTGTTTCGTAATAATGGATGGTAATAGTAGATGTCTTAAACGGACAACCTCCAGATCAATCCTCTAGGCGGACCTGGTCGAAACCTTTCATTAAATGGGAAATTTAGATGCATGGGTTTGGCTCCGGTCTGCAAAAAATCCATTCATTGGCTGGATGCCCATGACATATTGGGTATCAGTGCATTGAACCAGGCTGGGTTGAAAATTATGCTTGTTTTAGCTGAACTCAGGCCAGGCCAAGCTGCTGAATTTTCAGATGATTTTTTTGTGCAATTTTTCAAGCTTGTTTGCCTGATATTTCCTTAACATCATCATCTCTTGCTGAAACATTGTCTCTTTGCACTGAAATTGGCAGTGACTGTTCATGGTGCATGGAACAAGCTTAAACATGGGGACAATAATGCAAGCTAAGTTTTTGAGTGGGCGTAATGTATATTGTTTAGTATAAAATTTATCAGGTGCATGCATGCTGAAACTGGTGCCATGATTTAATGTGGTGTTACATGTTGCTTGCAAAATATTGTTTTTGTTTTCGTTTGTATGCATTTTACATGCTTCTGGAAAATCTATATATTAGATGACTATGTCAAGTCAGTCTGGAAACCAGGGGAACAATGTTGACTAGATATGTGATACATCTATGTCCTGCCCAAAATGGGCTATTGGGTAACAAGAAGGGTTCAAAATTTGTCCACTTTAGTGTCTAAGATGTGTGCATACATTCACCCAGCCAGTATTCTAACTGCTATGTCTGCATCATACTATTTCTTGTCAGCTACTAATTCATTGTTTTTTTTAATCCAACACAGGCACTCTGATCTGCCTGAACACTTCACCACGCCAGAAGCACCTTAGTGCTATGCTGACTGGCTTAATCTGTGTTGATGCTAATTGGCCAGTCCTGAACAAATGGAGGAGCAATAGATGGTGAACCCCAAGTCAGGCGTGCAATAGCGTGAAGACGTGGCATCAGCACTGCCTAAGTGGCTGGATACTACCACACTGGGCAGCAACCTGTACCTGACCTTTTTTGTGACCAATTTCCACTGCCCTGTGGCTTCTGTAAAATTTGTGCTCTAAAGCTGAAGTGTGCATGTGTCAAACTCAGGGCAAGCAATTGGCAGTGAATTTCAGATTGTATGTTGGTAAAAAGCAATTTGCCATCCTCTAAAACTGGACAGCTTCCTGAACTTCCAAAAATTTCTGGAAACCTGATGTTGCCTTTGCTTGAACTGAAATTTGCAGGTTGTGTAGCATGAAGTGACCCAGAAAGGTTGACAATCTCAGAGACAGACCTGTCAAATCAACATCTGTCTGGTCAACAAAGTTACTAGAAATAGGTTTTTTTAGCATCATTAGGGGGCCACACATGCTATGGAGACATGAAGACCACTTTGCAAATGGCCTTTTTTGGCTCACCATGTTTTAAATCGTCAGTCACAGGATATTTTAGATTATTGCATGGGTATAGACTGCAGAACAACACTGCATATTCCAGCTCTCAGAGTCAGAGGGGCAAAGCTACATTTGCATTTGTTTTTGAACCATTTTCCATGACTGCACTGGTTTCAATACTGGCTTGATACCATTGTAAACAGTTCAGTTTTGTTTTGGTTTTGTTGCATTTTTAAAAGGTTGTTTTAGCTTTTAGCATGGGTGACTAAAAACTGGAACCAGCCCATCATTGTTAATGCCAAATAAGATGTGACAAGCAGTAGTGTGGGCAGGGGGAGGCACAGGAGGCATGGCCCCCCCCCCCTTATTTTCTGAGGGGTCCTTTGGACCCCTTACCAGAGCTCTGGCTGAGTCCCTGCTGACAAGAGCTGGGGACCAACTTTCTGAAATGTTGTGTAGAAGGTATAGCATAAAAAGATGAGGAAGATAGGCTGAAAAAATCTGCCATCCATTATGCTAATACATCGCCTTAACCATTCCACAAACTTTTGTGATGGCTCCTGGTTCCATACAGCCCAGAAAAGCAAAAATTGTTATGGTAACACACATCTTTATTGTACACTAGATTCGGCTTCAGCATGGTGATTTTCAGCTAATTGTGGTTTGAGACTGGCTTTAGTCTCGCGGTCCAAGTGCGCAGTTTGGCTTTAGTTTTGCCGTCCAATCACACTGCCCTGGTTTCTCTAAGGCTTCGCGAGTATGAACGTCAAAGCCACTTTATTCTGATTCAGGTTTGATTGTTTAAAAAGCTGCTCGCCTCAGAGTTTCAAACTTGAAGGCCATCAGCTTTGACTTCGACTTTGGCTTCACAACATTTTCTGCTTCTGAATCGGTTTTGAAGCTAGAACCTTAGCTTCGTCTGTGTGCCTGGTGTGCCGGTAAGATGCGTACTGACATGCTGCCATATGTTGCTGTTCCAGGATCTCTTCAAGAGTAAGGCCGAGACTGACGCGCTCGGCTGGACGCGCTCGGTTCGGGCCCGGCCATCCAGGCTGTTCACGGAATGGACGGGCCGGCAGCTGGCGAGGCAGCATCTGGAGGCAGAGACACGCCTCCCGCGGCGTCCGACCCGCCGCCGGCCCCCAGCAGCCCTTCCCGGCGCGAGTCGCCGGAGCCCGCCCGCCAGCGGCCGGCGGAGCTCACCGATGCCGCCGTGGAGATGGAGGTGGACGGCGGGGAGGCCGAAGGGAATGCCCCAGACCAGGCGTCGCCTGTCGAGCCGCCCCGCAGTCCGTCGGATGGCGGCGGGGCGGAGGCCGACGGCCAGTGCCCGGCGCCGGACGTGGCCGACGCCGGCGAGCCGGGGTCGGACATGGCCGCCGCGCCGCCGTCGAACGGAGACGCCACGCCGGTAACGGGTGGTGAGATTGCGGCCGACGGCAAGGACGTCAAGGGCGGCCAAGGCATCGCGCTGGTAACGCTGGACTCGTCCGATTCGGACGAGTCGGCCGTGACGTCCAAGAGGCTGGCAGCGGCCGCGCCGCGCGGCACGACGCGCGACGTGGCCGCGCCCCAGGCGGCCCGCATCCCGCGCTGCTGCTTGAACCCCGACTGCAAGAGCCGCGAGGCTCTGGTGCCGGCCGTGTCCTCCGACCTGGTGTACTTCACCATGGTGCACGGCGACGGCGACCGGATCCCCAGCCTCGTGCGCACGGACGGCAGGCGCGCCAAGGTCTGCTCTGTCTGCCGCCAGCTGGTGGAGAAGTATAACCAGGTGAGTTGGACCGCCACTCAGCCTCAGCCGCCCTCCACCCTGTTCACTGTTTTTTTTTTTTTTGCTGACTGGTCAGTACCTCGAGGATTACTGAGGATCCTGGCAGTGTTGTGTACCAGCTAGTGGCACAGCGGCAGACCTTTCCACCGAGGCATTTCGAAATAAGAAAGTGAAGCGAAATGCTTAGGTAATACTGAAGTACGCCTGGCCACTTGTGACATTGATGTGATATGGCGGCTATATTGTGCTATATCGCTATGTCGGAACGTGTCTTGGCACACACGCGATGTGGCGCGAATAACCATGGCAGTTAACGTATGCTAAAAACTCAACTAAATACGACATTCGCGATCTCAAGATTCGACGTCAGCTGTGTGCTTCAAGATGTGACCTGACGCTTCCGCGCCGCCGGGTGGGTTGTGTCGGTTGACGTCACGCCCGTGGGATGCCTGGCGTGTTGCGCCCGCTGACGACATTGTTGCGTGCCGTGAACCGTGCCGATCTGTGGCCAGCTGAAACTGTGACCGTGCGCACCTGTGACCAGCTAAAACTGTGACCGTGCGCACCTGTGACCAGCTGAAACTGTGACCGTGCGCACCTGTGACCAGCTGAAACTGTGACCGTGCGCACCTGTGACCAGCTGAAAACTGTGACTGTGCGCACCTGTGACCAGCTAAAACTGTGACTGTGCGCACCTGTGACCAGCTAAAACTGTGACCGTGCGCACCTGTGACCAGCTAAAACTGTGACCGTGCGCACCTGTGACCAGCTGAAACTGTGACCGTGCGCACCTGTGACCAGCTGAAACTGTGACCGTGCGCACCTGTGACCAGCTGAAACTGTGACTGTGCGCACCTGTGACCAGCTAAAACTGTGACCGTGCGCACCTGTGACCAGCTAAAACTGTGACCGTGCGCACCTGTGACCAGCTAAAACTGTGACCGTGCGCACCTGTGACCAGCTAAAACTGTGACCGTGCGCACCTGTGACCAGCTGAAACTGTGACCGTGCATACCTGTGACCAGCTGAAACTGTGACCGTGCGCACCTGTGACCAGCTAAAACTGTGACTGTGCGCACCTGTGACCAGCTAAAACTGACCGTGCACACCTGTGACCAGCTGAAACTGTGACCGTGCGCACCTGTGACCAGCTGAAACTGTGACCGTGCGCACCTGTGACCAGCTAAAACTGTGACCGTGCGCACCTGTGACCAGCTAAAACTGTGACCGTGCGGATCGGTGACGGTGCGGACCTGTCACCCCTTGAACATGTGACCGTGTGGACTTCTGACCGACTGGCCCTGTGACCGTGCGTACCTGTGACCTTGCGGACCTGTGACCGTGTGGCTCTGACTGGCTGGCCTGTGGCTGTGCTGGCCTGTGGCCTGTGACTGCTGACCTGTGGCCTGTGACGGTGCTGACCTGTGGCCTGTGACGGTCCTGACCTGTGGCCTGTGACGGTGCTGACCTGTGACCGGTGACTGGCGACAGATGATGGCCGAACTGGTGCGCGACGGCCGGCCGCTGCTGGAAGGGGGCTGTCCGCCGCAAGGAGGACGAGGTGTGCCTCGACTCGGACGGCGAGGACGAGAAGGAGGACGACCAGGCCGACGACGGTGAGGACTGCTACTCACGGGGAGACACCGTTGTCCGTGTGCTCTACTGTTGATTGGCATTAAAGGCGCGATACGCAGCGTGGACACTCCAAATGCGGATCAAGCTGCTGAACCCTGAATAACATACATAGTGGCATGGTCTTCAGAAGTCAGGAGGAGTTCATCCTGTATATTTTATTCATTCACTGCTCCAGATCTTTGGAGTCAGGTGAGCTTTACCATAAACAGTGATTTAGATCACCTACGAAAATGACTGGCACTGTTTCCTGTTTTCGGTGGAAACTGACCTGTGCGTTTATCTGAGCGTTTACATGGTGCTTTCGGATCGTATTTGAATGTGTTTGAATATGCCTAAAATACTGTTAACTACTGAAAGTACTATAACATTATTTTAGAAGTCAGCCGGGACCGACCCGGCACCTGGGCCAGTGAGGACCCCCCCCCGCGCGCCCGCTCGCACTGGTCTGCTGTGGGGCTGTCGTGCTGAGGGAGCGGAGCGTGGTGAGCCTGCTGAGCCGTCTCAGTCGTAAGAATGCTGACCGCACGCGCTCGCGCTGGTCTGCTGTGGGGCTGTCGTGCTGAGGGAGTGTGGTGAGCCTGCTGAGCCGTCTCAGTCGTAAGGATGCTGACCGCACGCGCTCGCGCTTGTCTGCTGTCGGGCTGTCATGCTGAGGGTGGTTTGCGTGCAGGGCCGTCTCAGTTTGGGTCAGCAGCAGTGACCTCTCGTCGGCAGATGGCTCTGGCAGCTTGTGTTCGGACGACTCCATGATCGAGGTCGACTGTGACATCGAGGAGAGGATACAGGCGGCCATGGCGGCCATCAAGTTCGACGATCAGCTGGACAAGTGCATCCAGTGGGTGCGGGACAAGCAGTCGACCATAGACGGTACGTGTACACTGCGCTTGGTCTCAGTGTTTTCGAAAAGACGCACCTGAATTTGCATTCCGTGGGCGATTTGGTCATTGTGCCATTGCCACTTGGCATGCACCTTTTTACCTAATTTGAGGTACATTGCCTCATTGGTGTAACCTCTGGAGGAGGGCAGTTAGGACATGAGCCCCCAGTTTTCAAAAATAACATTTGTCTCCAATTCGCATTTCAATGCATGTGTTTAACTTGTTCATTGAGAATGTCATTTTCAGTTCAGGCTGTCTCTGAAATTCCAGTTTGGCCGCCCGTATCTTGATTTGGCCCCCAATCTCAAACTTTGTCATAATGATGTGCTGCCATACCATTTTCTTTTGTGCAGTATGCAGGTCTAATTATAATCCCGGTCACGAATCCTATGTATCTGCGTTACTCGTGTGACGAATATCAACCGTGTTTTTTTTCTGTTGGCCTTAATGTGCCCCATTCATAACGTCGTGAGGCGCTCGCTGAGCTTCGTTTATTGCCTCACTAACACGCGTGTGGTTTGATCCCACGACCACAAAGTAAACCCAGCCGCCGCCTGTAGGAAATTGGTCGCGCTGCCATGGACAGAAGACTTAATATTAACCGTACCGTTCAGCATGCTGCCGCCTGTAGGGCGTCAACAAACCATGGCCAGGTCGACGCCTGGTCTATTCGCCGACATCCACTCGACGGCTCACACATCAGACCGTCATAACGGTCAATACTGAGCCACAGGAAGACACACGTAATCGGACACTATTCGCATATGTCAACCCTTGGCACGAAAACATTGCAAACAGCTTGTGTTCGAAACAAAGCTACACGGGCGATTTAAAAAAGTGAGACCAAAATCGTCTTTTAATCTTGCCCTAGGGGCGGAGGGAGGGGGTGGTGCAAACATCGTAAGGTTTTTGAGGATGCATCTCCGGCATGTTGGGAAATCGCGCAGCATGCGATGCCAAAATTTTCAGTAGCCTATGCGACATCCATTGCGTGTTGGTACAAAACGTGTTCCAAGCTTTCCTGTTGTGGCAGCGACGGTTTTTTGAGGAATACTGTACGGCGATCTACGGCATGAGCGGGCGGCGGGCGGGAAACAACGGTGCCACGCGTGCGCGGCGGACCAACATTGCCACATTAGCGAAACCTTTTATGAGTATGTACTCGACACACACAGGAATACACATCTTTGTACTCAGGGAACAAGGACCACGCCTGTTTAGGCTTTTGGGGCCACGAGGCATGATCTCATCTGTATGGTGTAAAACTGAAGGAGTGCAATTTTTCGGAAAGTTTGACCTTTGACATAGCATTGTTGAATGCAGTTGTTTGCAGTTGTTGACTTAAAGGCTTAAAAAGTAGTACTGATCACGATATCTCGTTAAGACCATTCCACTGGTTTCCCACTAAAGGCTATCTTCATTAGTTTATCAACACTGTTGGGGGCATCATCCCCCCCCCGCCCCTCTCCCTACTAGTCCGCGCTGTGAAAAACGGCGAATAGGTGTGAGGGTTAAGGATTTCATTTTGTTCATTAATCATTTCAGAGTTAACGACTTCAACGAGGCGGGAAAGGGCCATGACCCCCGCTGTTGAGCATAGGCAACGCTTACCTAGCGTAACTTATGTGGGTGATACCAAGGATCAAAAGCCAGAACTTTTAGCCTTATCCACTGTCAAATAACCAGGAAAAAGGAGAGATAGATCGGCTACTGTTTTGGTTACAAAGCTTTATCAGAACAATTATGAGTGGCAAATTCAAAATGAATTCACTTAACAACATACCATATCAGGGAATTGACAAACTGTCAAGGACGAAAGCATCGCACCTGAAATCGTGGCTTTGGATCTCGTGTTGGATAGAATAAAGCAAGACCACATCCAAGTCCCTAGTCACGCTTAAACTTTTGAGCACATGCGTAGGGAGAGACAGGAAGCAGAGCGCCACGACCGCTCCACATCTCGTGAGGTTTCACTCAAACCAAATGGTGGTGCGCATGTAGGATGTACTTTAAAAACGGGTTTGGCGCTCCCACTTTCTGACACGGTCCTTTTCCCCTGCCCCCTGGTGTTTCATTCAGGCGACGCTTGACTTTGGGTGTTGTGTGTTTTACGAAGCGTGCCGAAGTCAAGCCGAATTGGAATAAAAAAAGCGGTAAGTAATGACGTTATTGGTGAATTTGTGGTTTCTAGACGACAAGCCTGGCTTTTTATACCTCTGCGAGAGATGGCTGGATGCCGATCCGGGGGTTAGCTGGGTTAAAGCTCTCTGTCGGTCTGAAGGCAATGTACGAGTAAGGATTAAGTAGTATTTGTGTTTTTAGTTCATTATAAATGACTGTGGCCATACTCTGTCAGGAGTATGGCCACAGTTTTTCAGCGTTTGAGCCGTGCTCGTCCCTGAGGCCCGAGGGTTTTGGGGACTCGGGGTGGCAGTCACCCTGAGCCCTGAGGCTCGATCCCTAACCCTGTTCAGTCCAGCGTAACGCTAGCGGCTTGTGAAGTTGTAAACGCGGTCGAGTCGGTGACGATCGGTCATGGGCCATCTATCGTCCACCGTGGGGCGGGTAATCTCGCTATGGGCGGGTAATCTTGTTAATCTCGCTTCTCCAGATAACGCGAGTGAGCAGCACACCCCACCTGCACACAAAACGTGCATGTGCTGTCCCGGTCCAACCCTTCTCACTCTTCCCCTATGAGCTTATGAGGTGCTGCCTGCCAAGTCGGTGTGACAGTCTCAGCTCGAGCGTGCGTGCGGCTATCAATGCTCGTATATATTGCGTTATGCGATTCTGTTCAACTTGTCGCTTTGGTGATGACGAAAGCGAAAAAAGCACGAACACACTCAAGAATGGCACATTGTGCGGAGATGAACGGTACAGGCTGCCGCTACGCTGTCACAGGAAAGTGTAGTGACTTCAATAACCGATAGTCGTGTTGGGGACCAGCGCCCAATGGTACACCGAGTCGAAAGACTTCCATCTGTGCAGTCGCAAGCAATTCTGGCACCGGGATCATGCTTGCGTCGCTTGGAGTAGCTCCCAACGTCTCGTGAAACAATTTTGTAACTTTTGGGAATGTTTTCAACATTAGATGAGCGGGGAAACTTCAGCTCCAAATCTTATTTTCTCGGATAAGTGCATAGTACCTGTGGTTAAAGTAGTTCAAAGTTCTTAACCTGGCACTTCGGAAATATTTATTGTGATCCCAAATGTCACCAAACAACTCCACTGCACAGGTATTCTTCAAATTGTTTAAACAAGTAGCACTCTTGGTCGTGTCCAAGTGTGTCGGCGCCAGTGTGTCTTCGCGTTTGCCTGGGATTATATGGATGCCGCTGTGTGTGATGCGCGCGTTTATTGGGGGAGGGGGGCGTGGCGTGGCGGGGCGGGGCGGGGCGTGGCGTGGCGTGGCGTGGCGTGGCGTGGCGTGGCGTGGCACGGCATGGCATGGCATGGCATGGCGTGGCGTGGCGTGGCGTGATGGGGCGTGGCGTGGCATGGCTAGGCGTGGCGTGATGTGACGGGGCGTGGCGTGGCGTGGCGTGGCGTGGCGTGGCGTGGCGTGGCGTGGCGTGGCGTGGCGTGGCGTGCGTGGCGTGGTTTGGCGCGATGGGGCGGGGCGAGGCTGGGCGTGGCGTGGCGTGGCGTTGGCGTGGCGTGGCGTGGCGTGGCGTGGCGTGGCGTGGCGTGGCGTGGCGTGGCGTGGCGTGGCGTGGCGTGGTGTGGCGTGGCGTGGCGTGGCGTGGCATGGCATGGCATGGCGTGACGGGACGTGGGGTGGCGTGGCGTGGCAGTGACGGGGCGAGGCGCGGCGTGGCGTGGCATGGCATGGCATGGCATGGCATGGCGTGGCGCGGCATGGCGTGGGCGTGGCGTGGCGTGGCATGGCGTGGCGTGGCGTGGCGTGGCGTGGCGTGGCGTGGCGTGGCGTGGCGTGGCGTGGCGTGGCGAGGCGAGGCGAAGCGTGGCGGGCGCGCGGGCGCCAACCTAGCTTTCAGCTGCGTGATGCACGTGATCGCCAGCGGTCGGTTCATTGGCCCGGGTGTGACGTGGCCGCGACGGTGCCGGCAGACTCGTTCAGCAAGACGGAGCGCGAGCTGGCCAAGCTGGACAAGGACGTGCACTACCTGTACGAGGACCTGTACAAGGAGCGGCCGCCGACCAGAGTGAGCCGGCACGAGCAGGACGGAGCGCTGGGTCCGGGTCCGGGTCCGGCGCGGTGGCGCCTCTGCGGACCGCTCCGCCGGCCCGCGTGGCCATTGCATGGGGCGGAGTGTGAACGCGCGTAGTGTGGAACAGTATCTAGATCGGCTAAAAGGCTGGGTCTCACTGCTACCTTCCGGGCCTGATTCACGTGTTGGTCAGCTGTCCATGCTTTGTAAGAGGTGGTTGTCTGGAACAGTCTCGTGTTCTGTATTGGTATTTTTGCTTTTGAGCCAGGGGTGCTTGCACGGGGCATTATGGTATTCAATGGTTTAACAGCTTATGCATGAAATCCCACCACCTGATATGACTGGGGACGGTGCACTTGTATGCGATGCTGATGTCGGTCCTGTGCATGACATGCGCTTCTGGGGGCTGTGCATGTAGGGCTGCCGAGTCCGCCGAAGACAGTGTGGTGCAAGTTAGCCGCTGAGGTTCTCCTCGCACCTCCTGCTGTCCTGCCCCAGTGGATGGCCCCGTCCTGCACGCTGCAGCCTGTCGGCGCGGCCGGCGGCCGGCTGCGCCTGCCGCTGACGCGCTCGTCCTCCTGAAGGCGGTCCCTGTCCTGCTTTCAGAGCGTCGACGGCGACGGCGGCGGCGGCGTCTGGCTGTCGGGCGCGGCCGCCGGCCGGGACCGTCAGGCGGCGGTGGCCAGTCGGGCGGCCGAGGCCCTCGCGCCCCGCCCGCCTGCCGACACCCCTTTACCTTGCTCCGAGGTCGCGGACGCGACAGCGGCGCCGCCCGTCTCGTCCCCACCGCCGTCTGAGCCCGACGAGCCGGCGACGGCGACGGCGGTGGGCCGGCAGAGCCGCACGCACAGCCGGCTCCCGCCGCTGCCGCCGCTTCCCGAGCCCGAGCGGCGGCGGCGCGCTCGGGCCAAACGAGAGCTCTCTCAGCCGCGCTCCGGCCGCCACAACTGCACCTGCGTCATGTGCGAGACCCTGCCGCGCAGTGCCGGCGAAGTCCAAGCGACTGTGGACGACGCTCCTGGCTCTAACGCCGAAGCGCGGGCGGAGCGGGCCGCTGGCGGCGCCGACGGCGCACCGGCCGGCGCTCAAACACCGGCCGCAAGCGTGGACGAGACGGCCAGAGCCGGCGAGCCAGGCCGCGGGCGTCCCGGCCGACGAGGGGCTCTCCAAAGGTCAAATGAGATAATGGCCTGTAAGGAGCAGGGTTCAGGGGCCCGCAATGGGGGACACGAGCCCTTGGGTCCGGGGCGACGGTACTCAGGCGAAGCGGTATCGAGTGACATGGATGTAATGTCAGGGTCAGGGATCGCAGGGGAGAATATTACGGAGACGGCCAATTGTCGGTCGTCGAAGATTCCTGATGACGCAAGCTCTCCACAATCCCTTGAATCCGTCGGCTCCACCTCAAGAGCGCTGCATATTTTCCGAAAGAAAGACGTGTGTCCGCCGTCACGCGAACAGTATGCAGGCAGGGCAGAGAGACCGTCGCAGCACGTGGTCGGCCCTGGCACGGGCCACGTCGTCACTTGCGAGGATGGACGGCCAGCCTTCGGCGTGCGCAGCACCCATGCCGTCCCGACTGCAGCTGCCGTTCCCGATCAGCCGGGCGCCACCGCCGGGAAGCGGCGGCGCCTGGCTGACTGCAGTGCCGGGGGTGGCGCCAGTCCAGGCCAGGGGCACGCCGCGCCTGGCGCCCGACGGTCGGTCGGCGCGGCGGCTGGCGGCGGTCCGCCGGCGGCTGGCGGCGGCCCGCCGGCGGCTGGCGGCGGTCCGGTGGTGGCTGGCGGCTGCCCGGCGGCGGCTGGCGGCGGCCCGCCGGCGGCTGGCGGCGGTCCGGTGGTGGCTGGCGGCGGTCCGACGGCGGCTGGCAGCGGCCCGCCGGCGGCTGGCGACGGCCCGCCGGCGGCTGGCGGCGGTCCGTTGGTGGCTGGCGGAGGCCCGGCGGCGGCTGGCGGCGGCCCGGCAGCGGCTGGCGGCGGCCCGCCGGCGGCTGGCGGCGGTCCGGCGGCGACTGGCGGCGATCCGGTGGTGGCTGGCGGCGGCCCGCCGGCGGCTGCGCTGACGTTGGCCAGCCGGCTTTGGAGGGGCGTCAAGCCTGGGCAGCGCATCACCCTTGGCTCTGGTCAGCAGGCAGACGGCTCGGCTGGCTCCATCCAGCTGGGTTGCAGTGAGCCACCGCCCGGCCAGCAGGGACACGGTGACCCAGAGTCCCGTCGGCAGAAACAGCGTAGCCCAGTGACTAGTCCGCAGGGTCACACAGAGCCAGATTCTTGTCAGCGCGACCGCGCTGCTCCGGGTCCAGTCCCGTTGAGTCGCACCAAAAGACTCACCGCGAAGTTCTGCTATATGCGGAAGCTCAGACAGAGCGACACGGCCGGGGCGCGGCTCCGGCAGAGCCTCGCGGTAGTAACCTTAAAGGAGGGTCGCATTATGCTAAGGCAGAGACACGCTATCCATGGGTCTAACCGGCTGCAGGTTGCTGAGTGTACCAAACAGGGACGTCCTGTGGCAGAGCGTGACGAACAGTACCCCACGGCCTCGGCGCCCGTCGAGCAGAGCCACTCCCTCACGGAGCCCGTGTATGAGGGACGAGGCATGTGGTCAAAGGGTAAGTTGTTTCTGCTAGGGAAGTCCAAGGGTGGTGAGGTCATCCGCGTGCCTGTCCGAATGAGACGGGGCGCATTATGGGGTGGAAAATGTTACATTCTTTCAAAACCTGACCAGAGAGGCACAGTCCCAGGGGCCATCAACAGGTAGACACAGTCCCAGGGGCCATCAAACAGGTAGACACAGCCCCAGGGGACATCGGACAGGGAGGCGCAGTCCGAGGGGCCGTCGGACAGGGAGGCGCAGTCCGAGGGGCCGTCGGACAGGGAGGCGCAGTCCCATGGGCCGTCGGACAGGGAGACGCGGTTCTAGGGGTTGTTGGACAGGGAGGCGCAGTCCCAGGGGACGTCGGACAGGGAGGCGCAGTCCCATGGGCCGTCGGACAGGGAGACGCGGTTCTAGGGGTTGTTGGACAGGGAGGCGCAGTCCCAGGGGACGTCGGACAGGGAGGCGCAGTCCGAGGGGCCGTCGGACGGGGAGGCGCAGTCCGAGGGGACGTCGGACAGGGAGGCGCAGTCCCATGGGACGTCGGACAGGGAGGCGCAGTCCCAGGGGCCGTCGGACAGGGAGGCGCAGTCCGAGGGGCCGTCGGACAGGGAGGCGCAGTCCGAGGGGCCGTCGGACAGGGAAGCGCAGTCCGAGGGGACGTCGGACAGGGAGGCGCAGTCCGAGGGGCCGTCGGACAGGGAGGCGCAGTCCGAGGGGCCGTCGGACAGGGAGGCGCAGTCCCAGGGGCCGTCGGACAGGTAGACACAGCCCCAGGGGCCGTCGGACAGGGAGGCGCAGTCCCAGGGGACGTCGGACAGGGAGGCGCAGTCTCAGGGGACGTCAGACAGGGGGGCGCAGTCCCAGGGGCCGTCGGACAGGGAGACGCGGTTCTAGGGGTTGTTGGACAGGGAGGCGCAGTCCGGGGGGCTGTCGGACAGGGAGGCGCGGTTCTAGGGGTTGTCGGACAGGGAGACTTCCCTGGGGCCGTCGGACAGAGAGGCGCCCGAAGCTTCGACAGTCAAGAACGTACGCCACCCGAGTCTGCCAAACAGGAACACGTGGCCCCAGAGTATGTCAGTCAAGGAAACCTAGTCAGCCCGATGGCACAGTCTGCGCAGCAGGCGCCTGTTATTCCACGGTGTGCGAAACAGAGGTGCACAGGAAGAGAGTTTGTGGAACTGTGGCGCAATGCCATAAGCTGTGTCACGGCAGGACATGCGCCAGGTTTGGACAAGCAGACAGACGTCCGAAGCTTCGACAGGCAGTGTTGCCCTGTCCCAAGCTCTGGCAAACAAGAGAAGGTTCTCCGAAGCTCTGCTGTCGAGCATGGGTCCGCTACGCAGGGTTATGTCAAGCTGGGACACACTGCCTCGGGCTGCGACGAACTGAACCTCAGCTTTGCCGAAGGGGGAAATGCCGTTCCAGGGTGTAGCGGGCAAGTCCACGCCAGTTCAGTGTGTAGCCAGCGTGCGGTTCCAGAGCCGAACGAGGAGGGATACACCGCTCCAGCGTCAGGTCAACATACCGTCTCAGGGTCCGGGCAACAGGAGCTCTGTCCTCCGGTGTCTTACCAACGCATCGCCCCGAGGATAAGCCAGCAAACGTGCGCTGCTCATCTGTCAGGCAAAGTGCTACGGCGTCACCAGCTCGACAGGGACACACGAGTCCAGTGGCGGGCCTGCAGTGGGCCGGTGCTGGCGGCGAGGCGGACCCCGCTCCAGGTGACCACGATCCTGACTGCCGGCCGGGTGTTGTCTGGGTGGCCTCCTGGGCGCTCTTCCATCAGCGGCCACCTCAGCCAGCCGCTGCGGACGGTCCCGCGCCGCCCCCACCGCCGCAGCCGGCCGAGCCGCCGCAGCCACGCCCACCGCCGGTCAAAAGCTCCGGCACGACTGCGGCGCCGCCCGCCAGCGGTTACCCGCCGGACGGTCTGGGCTCGCCGCCGCCCGCGGCTGGCGGCGTTTCGTCGATGCCCCGGGCGCCGGCCGAGCCGAGGCTGCGCGTTCCGGTAGTGCCGTGGCCATCGCTTGACCAGACAGTGTCGCCCCAGTGGCAGGCACCAGCCCTGCTGTCGCCCCGAGCCCCGTCGGCTCGGCCGACACATCTGTCGTGGTCGGCGCCGCGGCCTCCTGCTCCTTGCGGGGCGCGCCTGGCCCTGGCAGTGCCGCCGCCTGGTCCGTGGCTCTCGCCGCCGGTGGCGGCCGTCGAGCCGCTGGGAGAGCGTGCGGCTGACGGACCGGGGCCTCACGGGGCCTCCGTGAGCCTGGACCCAGGCCTGCTCGGCTCAGTCGCCCGGAATCCCGGCCACAGTCTGCTGGGGGTCAAATACCGAGACGATCCTCGCCTGCCGGCTGAGAGGCCGCTGGCGTACCGGCCCAGTGTCGCGGTCAACTGAGGACGCGGCGGCGCCGGGCAGGCCGGTACCGACAGCAGCTAGCAGTGACGGGTGGCCGTCTCGACCGGCCCCGGCGCCGTCAGCTGAGGGCGCGGCGGCGCCGGGCAGGCCGGTGCCGACCACGGCTAGCAGTGACGGGTGGCCGTCTCGACCGGCGCCGGCGCCGTCCGGTGACCGTGTGGCCGGGCAGCGGAGCTGGAGGGCGCCGGCTCTCGGCGGCGCCGGTGGCGATCCTGGCGTCGGAGGGCAAGACTCCTGTCCTGCGGCGCCGCCAGCGGCCCGCGAGAGAGTGACGAGCGCGGCATCGGCTGAAGATGCCGCTCGGCCGCCGGCCGCGCCAGCCAGCCAGCCGCAGCGGCAGGAGGGACCGGCCTGCCTGGCCGGCGGCGTGCACCCTCCGCTGCCGACGAGTGGCTCCCCGCCGCAGAGGCGGCCGGTCGAGATGGCCGCCTCCACGCTGTACTCTCCGACCGGCGCGCTGCTGGGCGGCGCTGCCGGCCGTCGACCGCGCGCCTCCTTCACGGCCAGCGTGCCGCCACCGCTCGCCGAGCGCCAGGTCACTGCCGCCGCCCCCACCCCCGCCGTCGTGCGGTCCTGACGGTGCGCCGTCGGCAGCCTTGGCCGACAGGCGACGCCGTCAGCCGCAGCTGGGCGCTCGGCGCGCGCCAGCAGCCGAGCGTGCGGTCTTGTTTTGTCTATGCCAGTGCGTAACTGGGGCTAGGCTTCTTAGGTCGTGAAAGCACGTCCCAGACCGGAGGTGGCGAAATTTAAATATGTTCAGTATGCTAACAGCAGTTTTGTTAATGAGTCACGCTAAGAAAAGGTATGTTTTGGGATAAATGTTCTTACACCCAAACACACACACACACACACACACATATATATATATATATATATATATATATATATATATATATATATATATATATATGTATGTATGCTTTAACGCTCTTATTCATTCACATGATTGAGTATCCAAGACGTTAGGGTATACACCAGCTGCCCATTGTTTGCTACGCCAAAATCAAAGAATATATCTCGCAGGCATAAAATTACGGCGTATGGTGTACCTGTCTGTGGGAGTAGTTGTCGAGAGGAGTATCCGCTGCTTAGCGCCAGCTAGTTGGCCGGCCGGCAAACTGGGTTGGCGCTGGCTTGCGCGTTGGATGGTCTATTTCACGCAGTGCTTTCGTATGCCAAAAGCCAGTATAGGCAATCCTTGCATGCCTAGCGTTATGGTGCCTTTCGAGTTTCTGTGACATGTGTAGTAACGGTTACGAGATGCAGCAGATACGAACGTGTCACCTAGAAGCTGCCGCGTGCCCGTCTCATCATGTGATTGCCCCGCTGCCGGGCGCGACTATCACCGCTGCCGGGCGCGGTTGTCACCGCTGCTGAGCACGACTGTAATCTCTGCCGGGCGCGACTGTCACTGTTACTGGTCACGACTGTCCCCCCTACCGGGTGGGACTGTCACTGCTGCTGGGCGCGACTGTCGCCCCTACCGGGCGTGATTGTCACCGCTGCGGGGCACTACTGTCACCCCTACCGGGCGCGACTGTCGCTGCCGTCGGACGCGACTGTCATCGCCTGATCTCGAGGACGCTGGTGTCGCTCGCTGGCTGACACGGCTGCTGGCGTCGACAGAAGCTGCCGCCGGTCGACATATTCCACACGGAGGTGCAGCGCACCATCCACTATCCGGACGGACGCGTGTACGACCTGGACCCGGCCTACACGGCTCGCCAGCTGCCAGCCGCATCGCCGGCCATGCCGCCGCCGCCGGCGGCCGCGCCGCCGCCACCTCCGCCGCCGCTGACGCCGAAGCCGGGCCTGGGTCGCGGCCGCGGTGGCGGCGGCTCGCCCGGCGACAAGGCCGTCGGAGACGTGAGTGGGTCTGCCGGTCCTCGCCGCCACGGCGGCTCTGTGACCAGGCCTCAGCTGGCGCCGGCGCTTGCCTTGTAGAGTTCGACGGCGGCGTCCCGCGATTTGCGTTGCTTGGTCATAAAGGCGGGATCGCTGCCTTTTCCCCACAGCTTTTAGCTTTGAAAGATAAACATACGTAGGCGTTAAGACAAGTGAAGAGTTACTAGGATGCGTTATGGTGATGTGTCGTATTCGGCCCTTCATCCCTAGCTGATGTACCGCGGCGACTTGGTCCATGCGGGGCAGCAGCCTGGCCTCCGGACGAGCATGACGCTGGCTTCCGGTGCCGGCAGATCATGATCAGTGACGTGGTGCAGGTGGGGCGCACCAGTCTGCCGGTTGACCTGCCGCCGCTGGGCACTATACAGCGGCCCCTCGTCAAGCCCGGACAGCACGTGTTCGCCATGCATAGTGACACACTGTCGCCATGGTTCAAGGCGAAGGTCAAGGACGTCATGGTCAAGCAGAGCGTAAGTCAAGTGCCTGTCCGGCCCCAGGGAGCCAAAATGTGTCGTTGGTAGGACGAGCGTAACATCGCACACTGGGTCCGGCGCTAGTGCACGACAACCAGGTGTGTTCGAACGATCAGTGGACAACCTGAGCGTTGAGGTCTGGCTGCCAGTCGTGGGGAATGGGTTCTGCCCACGTCTTTTACGTCGGTGTCTGGCGAGCGCGCCGTGACGGGTCGTCTCGCCTTACTGTCGCCGCCGTGACGGGTCGTATCGCCTGACCGTCGCCGCCGTGACGGGTCGTGCCGTCTGACTGTCGTCGCCGTGACGGGTCGTGTCGTCTGACTGTCGCCGCCGTGACGGGTCGTGTCGTCTGATTGTCGTCGCCGTGACGGGTCGTGTCGTCTGACTGTCGCCGCCGTGACGGGTCGTGTCGTCTGACTGTCGCCGCCGTGACAGGTCGTGTCGCCCGGCTGTCACCACCGTGACGGGTCGCGCCGTCTGACTGTCGCCGCCGTGACGGGTCGTTGTGGTCTGACTGTCGCCGCCGTGACGGGCGGTATCGTCTGACTGTCGCCGCCGTGACGGGCGGTATCGCCTGACTGTCGTCGCCGTGACGGGTCGTGTCGTCTGACTGCCGCCGCCGTGACGGGTCTTGCCGTCTGACTGTCGCCGCCGTGACGGGTCGTGTCGCCTGACTGTCGCCGCCGTGACGAAGTGTGTCGCTTGACTGTCGCCGCCGTGACGGGCGGTATCGCCTGACTATCGTCGCCGTGACGGGTCGTGTCGTCTGACTGTCGCCGCCGTGACGGGTCGTGTCGTCTGACTGTCGCCGCCGTGACGGGTCGTGTTGCCCGACTGTCGCCGCCGTGACGGGTCGTGCCGTCTGACTGTCGCCGCCGTGACGGGTCGTGTCGTCTGACTGTCGCCGCCGTGACGGAGTGTGTCGCTTGACTGTCGCCGCCGTGACGGGCGGTGTCGTCTGACTGTCGCCGCCGTGACGGGCGGCATCGTCTGACTGTCGCCGCCGTGACGGGCGGTGTCGCCTGACTGTCGTCGCCGTGACGGGTCGTGTCGTCTAACCGTCGCCGCCGTGACGGGTCGTGTCGCCTGACTGTCGCCGCCGTGACGTGTCGTGGCGCCTGACTGTCGCTGCCGTGACGGGTCGTGTCGCCTGACTGTCGCCGCCGTGACGGGTCGTGTCGCCTGACTGTCGCCGCCGTGACGGGCCGTGTCGCCTGACCGTCACTGCCGTGACAGGCGGTGTCGCCTGACTGTCGTCGCCGCGACGGGCGGTGACGGTAGCTCCGCTGTGGTCCGTGCAGGGAATGCAGCTCCGCGTCAAGTTCGACTCGCCGCGCGTGACCTCCAACAAGAACCGCGTGGTGGAGGGCTCAGAGGTAGCGTACGTCAGCCAGTCGACAGTGCGGCTGCACGTGGGCGTGCGGGTGGTGGCCGCCTTCCGCGACCATCAGCAACAGACGCCCACATTCTACTCGGGCACGATCGCCGAGGCGCCCAAGACCATGAATGGCTACAGGTGCGCCGCTCCGCTGTCGTCGGCCGTCCTGATGTGCCGTTATGAGCGTACCGGAGACCCAATGGTGACGTGGCCACTTACAGTTGGTGTAATGTTCACCTAGCACGCATACATTTAGGGCCTAAGTTGCCTAGCTCATTTTCGTTGATGTTCCTTGTAATATGTCATCAAAGTGGTCGCTGCTTAAACCTTATGTGCTGGAGCAGCCAGCGTCAAATGCTTGATGTACCGGCAGTTGCACAGGAAGTGCTCATTCGTGGCGGTGTTCCCAGTCGCATAATGGCGCACGTACAATGCCCGCAACATCTTATCAAATGTGTCAGTAGACATCGCAGTATTCGTTATCCGCACATAGCCGATCATTACCGTCGGTCATGGAACGCGCTTACATGACGTGCGTGTGGTCCCACAACGCAGGTACCTGATCTTCTTCGACGACGGGTACGCGGCGTACGTGCAGCACCGGGAGCTGAAGCTCATCTGCCAGCCCTCCAAGGTGGTGGCCGACGACGTGCACCCGGACTGTCGCGAGTTCGTCGCCAAGTACCTGGCCCAGTTCCCCGAGCGGCCCATGGTCAAGCTGCAGAAGGGCCAGGTGGTGAAGACCGAGTGGGGCGGTGAGAGCTGGCGGCTGCGCAGGCCGCGCGTACCCCGGGGCCGGCTCGGTGGACGGGTTGGCTGCTCCCGCGGCGTTGGCTGCAATCGCGAAACAACACCGTGTCTGTTGGTGCCCTGTCGATAGCTGCCGAAAGAAGGCAGCGTCTCCGTTGGTGGCCTGTCGATAGCTGCCGAAAGAAGGCAGCGTCTCTGTTGGTGCCCTGTCGATAGCTGCCGAGAGAAGGCAGCGTCTCGGTTGGTGCCCTGTCGATAGCTGCCGAGAGAAGGCAGCGTCTCTGTTGGTGCCCTGTCGATAGCTGCCGAGAGAAGGCAGCGTCTCTGTTGGTGCCCTGTCGATAGCTGCCGAGAGAAGGCAGCGTCTCGGTTGGTGCCCTGTCGATAGCTGCCGAGAGAAGGCAGCGTCTCTGTTGGTGCCCTGTCGATAGCTGCCGAGAGGAGGCAGCGTCTCTGTTGGTGCCCTGTCGATAGCTGCCGAGAGAAGGCAGCGTCTCGGTTGGTGCCCTGTCGATAGCTGCCGAGAGAAGGCAGCGTCTCGGTTGGTGCCCTGTCGATAGCTGCCGAGAGGAGGCAGCTTCTCTGTTGGTGCCCTGTCGATAGCTGCCGACGTCGGACCGTGCTGCATCTGCGCTGGCTGCAGTCCTCTGTACCAGAGCCGCCTCCGCGGACGTGATGCGCGCCGGCGTGCGTCGCGGACCATTCCGGTGTGTAACGCCCGACTGCGCCCGGCCGGCAGGCAAGTGGTTGCCGGCGCGCGTGGCCGAGGTGGACGCCTCGCTGGTCAAGATGGCGTTCGAGTCGGAGCGCCGCTCCGAGTGGATCTACCGCGGCTCGACGCGGCTGGCGCCCATGTACGCCGAGCTGGTGTCGCACCAGCCGCGCAAGCTCGGCACCGGTGCGCGCAGGAACATCCTGAACGCCGTCAACGTCGGCAAGGTCAGCGGCGGCACCGCGTGACCGGCCATGACAGGCCGGCGCGCCGAGCTCCGGGGAAGCAGCGTTGGCCAGCTGATTTTGATGTCGTTCACTTGTGCAACAAGTTTGGGAAATGCTGGTCGCTATAACGTCGCTGATCTTGTTGCTGTGCACGAGTGTAATCGGGGGCTTGTCAGTAAAAGCAATCTTTCGAGTGGCTTAATGTTGGTTATACTTTTGTCACTGCCAATCGCAAGACGCCCACTCATCATGTTGTGCAGCTGCAGTAACGGATTGACCGTTTGGCACGAACAAGCTGCCAGCAGCCCAACATTGCCGCTGCCACGCCATGGCGCCTGACGGCCTGACCGGTGTGTGAGACCGCGTTCTGTCTCCCGGCGGCCGGTCCGTCCAAGCCTCCGCCACCCGCTCCGCCGCTCACCGGGCCGGCTTATCTTCAGAAAAATCGCGTATACGTCGAGTACACTCGACACTCTGAGCAAGAAGAAGAGTCGGCCGAGGAGACGGCGGCGGCGGCGGCGCTTCGCCGCCCGCCGCGCGCCGTCGCCCGCAAGAGCACGACGCCGGCGGCGCAGGAGGTGACGCCGCCGCCGCCGCCCACCGACCGATTTATCTCGCCCATTTCACCCATGGAGGGCGACGGCCAGATCACAGAGGTGAGGCACGTCAAGCCAGGGCACGGCTGGGCCCGGCCGGCGCGGGGTGCCGACCACCGCGCTCCTGTCGGTCAGGTGCGCTAAGTTCGAACCTGGTCTCATTGGTGTCGAGACCAGGGAGCAGGCATGCTGGAATAACGAAGCTAGTTCATTCCAGTCATTGTGCGCATGAGTGATCGGATAAATGGAATCATGCGGGTGTGCCTTCCGTGTGGCTTTCGAACGTCCCGTGGCGATGTGACGGTTGTCGGTGTGACTCATGGCCGGCCCCTGTGAGGCCTCGCTGCTGATATGCGGCCGGGTGGGACTGAGCGCCGCCGGTCGAGCCTTGACCGGGCGTCAGTGGGTGGCCGGGCCCGGCGAGGCCCCACTGCTGACATGCGGCCGGGTGGGACTGAGCGCCGCCGGGCGAGCCTTCGCTGGGCGTCAGTGGGTAGCCGGCGTCACCGCTCAGCTGTCCGCCTGTCGCCAGATCAGCAGCAAGCCTCGCGTCACGCCGCGGCGCCTGCAGCCGCACGCCTGCGGCCGAGCCTGCATCCGCAACTTCAGCGTCGACATGGCCCGGCTCAAGGGCGTCAACCCGCTGCTGATGCCCATGATGAGCGGCTGGATACGGTAAGGCGGCCGCCGGACGCGGCCTGGCTGACCGCAGTGCTGCGGCGTCACCACCGAGCGACGCACGCGTTATTCTGTTTGTACTGTGATAAGGTGCTTGTCGAATCCATTGGTTAACGTGCAGGTACAGTTTTAGGTCCGTGTGACTTGATGCCGCTCTGTGTCAGATAGCAGAAAAGAACCACCATATCGACTCTCGCGTTTTTTCGTTCGGTTTGTTGGGTTTCGTTGTCCAGACACTCGCGGTTGTGATGGGAGGACGGCGTCGGGCCCTTGGGGCAAGTAGCTGCTCTCTCTCGGACGGACGATGCTGAAGACACGCTGAGCTGAAAGTTAGCGAGCATAGCATCAGGGCAGCACGCTGGTGCCGCCGCGCTGGAGTGTGCTGGGAGCTGCCGCCGCTGGGTGTCAGGGCGTGTCACGCCGTCGCCGCGCGGGCTGACGGCCGGCCGTGTTCGGCAGCGAGATCGTGCGCCACCGGACCAGCAAGCGGACCGTGCTGTACCGGGCGCCGTGCGGCCGCCGCCTCCGCTCGCTCGACGAGGTGTTCACCTATCTGCGCCGCACCGACTGCAAGCTGGAGATCGACTGCTTCTGCTTCGACTTCTGGGTCCACTGCTTCACCGAGTTCGAGCCGGCCAGGAAGTTCTGCAGCATTAAGGTTAGCCGAGTTGGTGTGGCCGGTCTCACTTCAAGACAGCAGTCGGTGGCTGGCGTTGTGCGTTCTTCTGTGACTGGTAGCACAGTCCGCTCAGTGCGGTTGGACGCAAGATGCTGGAGGCAGCGCGTCGGCTCGCGTTACGCCTTACCTTCGTGTTAACCCCGCATGTTGAGGTGCCAGGAACGTCATACTCCTCCCGTACCCCCACCCACCTGCCAGGCCCAGCGAAGCGGCTCTGTGGCCAGCTGGTGCGGATTCGGGACTTAAGGCGGATGGGCGCAAGTGTTTGTCGCTGGTTTGAGTAACGCCAGGCCGTTGGCAGGACATATCCTACGGGAAGGAGAACGTGGCGGTGTCGTGCGTGAACTCGCTGAACCGCGACTACCCCGACTACGTGGAGTACAGCACGCGGCGGCTGCCTACCAGTGGCGTGCAGCTCAACCTGGACTCCAACTTCCTGACCTGCTGCGACTGCACTGACGACTGCCAGGTACGCGGCCGGCCCCGCTGCCCGCTCGTCCCGCCGAGGAGGCGGTGTTCATCGGGTGCGCTGCGAATTCGTACGTGTAATGTGCACCTGAAGAGACCGCGCCCTTTGTCTCGGCGACGCCATGATGAACAGTAAAAGGTTTGAGCGGCGGCCGTCCGGGTCCGCGGCGCGCCGGGTCGGGTCACGACCCCGCCTGACCGGGCCGGGCCGCGGTCTGAGGCCGGCCAGGTCGGCAGGGGCCGACACCGAGCGGCCGTTCCCGGCCGCCGCCGTCTCGAGGCTCTGGCGGCGGCGCCCGGACAGCCGGACAGGCCCGCCGCTGCGACTCTGACGCGGCCCGGCGGGCGGCGGACCCGACGCCGCCAGCGAAGGATGACACTGCCCCCTGACACCGGCGAGCGCCGCCGGCGCCGGGCCCGCGCGCGCGCCGCCCCTGACCGCCGCCGACCGGCCGGCCCGCCTCGCCGTCAGGACAAGCAGAAGTGCTCCTGCTGGCAGTCCACCATCCAGGGCACGGCGTTTGGGCCCACCGGCCAGGTGGACGAGACGGCCGGCTACCACTACCGCCGCCTCATCAACGGCAACGTCATCACCGGCATCTACGAGTGCAACGACAGGTGCGCTAGTCCGTCTCCGTAGCGGTGGACGCCGGGGAGTGGACGGGGACGACGCGAGGAAGCGTTGTGATAGGCAATGGTGAAGTGAACTTGTACCTGATGTGTAGAAAAGACTGATTCATAAAATTGCGACAAAAGCTTTTAGATTCTACATCGTGAACGTCATGCTTGGTTGTATTTGTTATGTTTGTCTGTGGCCCAGGCATGCGTGCCGTACCATGTGCTAATTCTGGTCTGTACGCGGCGTCAGATCACATTTGTTGATGTGCCTTGGGTTTGGTGAACGTTTTCCCAGGTGATGACGAGTGTAATGCGTACCGGTGTTCGCCTATCTTTCGCATCTGTTTCATGCCTTTTGGTGCAGCTGGCGTGGTTGTGCCTGCCTTGTGTGTGCGTGCCGTGTTGTTGGACGGCCGTGTGCGTGCTCCCGGCAGGTGTAAGTGCCGCTCCAGCTGCCTGAACCGGGTGTGCCAGCATCCGCTGCGGCTGCGCCTGCAGGTGTTCAAGACACTGCGCCGCGGCTGGGGCATCCGCTGCTTGGACGACATCCCCAAGGGCGGCTTCATCTGCGTGTACGCCGGGCAGCTGCTCACAGAGTCCGGTGCCAACGAGGTGCGTGCGGTGCCGGGGCCTGGCGCCGGTCGGGAGGCGCCTGGGCCTGACGCCGGTCGGGAGGCGCCGGGGCCCACGCCAGTTGGAATGCGTCGGAGCCTAACGCCAGTTGGGAGGCGTCGGGGCCTAGCGCTAGTTGGGGGGCGTCGGGGCCTGGCGTTGGTGGGGAGACGTCAGGGCCTAGCGCCAGTCGTGAGGCGCCGGGGCCGTCCTGCCCCCTGTTGTCTGCCCTGTGGCCGCCGACCCGCTCTGGGGCCTGTCCTATGGTGCTGCCCCCATTTGTCTGTCCTGTCCCGGCCCGCGCTGGAGCCTGGCGCGTGCTCATCCGGGCTCGCCACCACGCCACAGGACGGCAAGAACTATGGCGACGAGTACCTGGCCGAGCTGGACTACATCGAGGTGCTAGAGCGGCTCAAGGAGGGCTACGAGTCGGACGTGGTCGACGACGAGCAGAGCAGTAGCGACGAGAAACAGGACGACGACAAATCAGACGGTCAGTGGCTGCCGCCCCGCCCCACGCATGTCCTCTGCGATAGCTCAACAAAGGTTTGACTTCATCACGAGCCGTACTGAGCAAGAACGCGGCGGATCTTCCCTTCTGGGCATGCGTGTGTTAATGATTGGATGGACGTGTGGCCAAAAAGCACACCAGAAACGGCACACAGCAGCCCGCTGTTCGACGTGCGTATGCATCGCGACCCAAGAGCTGGTCGGTCGTCAGTAGCATCGCCGTCGCTGCGAGTGCACAGCGGCCACTGTCGCTGCTCGCTGCGAGTGCACAACGGTCGCTGTCGCTGTGAGTGCACAGCGGCCGCTGTGTCCTACCTTCACTGCACCCAAGCGACTTCATCCTCGCGCGTCGTGATGTTTGTGGGTTGGCGGAAGCACCGGTGCCGTTCGCTGAGGACCGCCATTCTAAGGAGCTTTTGTGAGCTTGCACGAAGTACGGATATCCGGTGCAATTTCCGTGCCTACTATTCAACGTACCGACACCGTACCCGTACGGAACGAGACCAGGTGGGCTGCGAAGCGACACTGTTCGACCGGACAGCGGGGGGGGGGGGGGCTGCATGGGGCAGGCTGCATGTGTCGGCCACGAGTGGGCCGAGAGCCCCGTGGGGAGGGGGATCCCGACCGGGTACACAGCGGACATGCGCAGGGTAAAGGGTTTAAGCTTGGCGGTTGGCATTCCACGCGCATGCACGCCTGCCCCACCGACAACCACTTTCCTTCGTCCCATAGCCCTGAAATTATCATTTTCGGTCGAAAGGGCTCTAATTCAGACCACCAATGCACGGTCTAGCCGCCCGGTCCAGCTCCAACTCTCCCGAAAGCAACTCGGTGCCTTCAGTTTGGATTCGTAATATTGTCATATAAGTAGCCTAAATTGATTGGGCGTGCAAAATAACCTCCCTAACTTGTTTAGGTAGAACGCACGGAATATTGTATCCTGGGGTCCATGCTAACGTCAAAAATATGATGAATTGTTACAGCAAGATAGAAAGCGCGTAGCAATAGTGAAGATACAGGATAAAGCGGGCGGGTGTGCCGACATTTTTCACGGATTTGACCTCAAAATGAAAAATTATGAAAAATTGCACGGATCACGGATTGATTTTGGTAAACTCAATTCGTACCATAGTTCGTAGTTGTCATGTCGTATTCGTAGTCGTCATATCGTTGTCATATCGTTCGTAAGTTGTCATATTCTAAACCACCTGCCGCGTCAGGTTATGACTGTGTACGTATGTGACTGGTAAGCGTTTGACGTCGTGTTCGGAGCGGCCTGAGGTACAGCCGCCGCCGCCATCCCCTGACGTCTGCCGTGTCTGACGCCAGACGACGGCTCGCCTGAGGCCGAGGACGACGACTCCTCCTCCGGGCCGCAGTCGTCCGAGTCGACGCGTCGGCGCGGCGCCGCGCGCGACGACGACTTTGTGCCGCGCAAGGAGATCGGTGGCACGGCGACCAGGACCTGCGCCGCTCCAACAGGTGAGCCGCGCCAGCCGGCGCCGGCGCAGGGGCGAGCGCCAGCTGCCTGATGACCAGGGCCGTGTGACGAGGTGGAACAGGCTGCCGCCTGAGCGGACGACACGCTGTTGGATACCAGGCCTTCAGGTCATGCCATCATGGCGAGGGCAGTGGGCGCGCCCGAAAGCCTCAATCATCATCATCATCATCAGATCATGCCATTGCGGTGGACATGGAATCAGCTACTTTGGGTAGTCATCTTGTCGCTGCCCGGCGGCGAAGGCTAGCTAGAAACATTGGTAACCCTCCTCCAACAGCGGATGACACCCATTGAGTCTGCGACAAAGGGCTTTTTTTAAAAAAAAGCAATGTGGCACATGTTGAGATTCATGTATAAAAAACTCGGATTGCACAAGACGCAATCCGAACCTTTTGAATGGATGGATTTCTGAGGTCAGAACTGGTGCTAAGCAATGTTTGTTCTGTGGGCTTGGCCCCTATCATCCGGTCAGGCAATACCAGGTCATCGGCAGAATTTGGGGCCAACAATTTGACATGCTGCAATGCTCGACGCGGTTCGTCCTGGCCTCTGACGTCACCTGACCTTTAGCGCGGCCACCGGTCGCAGGCCATACACGTCAACAACGAATAGTGAGAGCTTAAAGCGACTTGAGCCTACCTCGCCACGGGTTGGCTCGACACGCAGGCGCTCTAACCTATTGAGATGTGGGAACGGACAACACAAGCCATGGGGACGAACAATTTAGGCAGGTTATGCTTGTAAATTGATGCAAGGAAAGTGCGTTGACCCCAATGTAGATCAAAGCCTTTGAATTTCACGGTTGTCACCCATCCCACTCTCGATTGATGCTAAGTAAATTGAAGTAGTGGCGACGGGGTCGAACCCCGGCCAGGATTATCCTGAACACATCTTGTGTTTTTTGCATAGATGAAAAGTCTCCCTTCTTAATATGTGCGTTTGCTTTTTTGCACGCGCTGTGAATGACACCGTTGTCGCGCGCGCGGACGAAATGATGCTGTGGAGCGCCACACAGATGGAGTCCATCGGGTGTGCGCATCTAACCATGATCAGTGCAACTGTCTTCGCTCTGCTTCTGGATAAAAGTCCCTAGAAGATAAAGGCGTGCAGACAAAGTTGTATGATATTGGAGGACAGTGACCTGTCTTGGCCCGTCTGGGCCGTCACGCTTTTTAGACACTGATACCGTCGTTGCCGCCGATTGCAGCTGCATGTGACGTTAAACAATACTAAGCGCAATTCCATAAACGACCCCGTTGCTTTTTTTCAATGCATTTGGGCGCACGCTGTTTGATAAATGGGATTGTATGGCAGCATGTCAAGTTCAGCAGAATCTAGTGCTCCCCACTCTATTAACGAAGGCAGCGTGAAACTCCTTTGACGCGGAAAAACTACACCGCAGTTCCTGTTGAAACTGGTCGCAGCTCCCGACGCCCGATGTCGCAGCGGCGTTAGACGAACACGGTCGTGGCGAGGGAGACGCACAGCCGTATTACCAGCACAGCGTGAGGCGGTGTGTGCGGCCGGCGCTCGGTCGCTGGCGCGGACCATGTCCTCTGGGACGTGTTTCAAGATTAAATGTCATAGCTGGCTGGGTGTAGCAGTTACCGGCGTCGGACCGGTGTCAGCGTAGGCGTACACCGTGTTGTGCAGATCACTCGACGCAGATGTCACAAGCTCAACACCATTGTGTGAAGCGGCCATTGGCCCGTGCCGGTGGCCATACCCGCAGGCTCCCATTTTTTAAGCGGGGATGTTAAGGTCTGAAAGCCACACCAGTGGACTTTGTTAGCAAACTCACGAACCGACCCCCCTACCTCCGTGCGTCTTTTAGACACCACGAATGGTTCCCACATGTGTTCGACTCCAATGTATCAGGTTTGAATTGCATCTTCCTGTCGGTAATTGTTACACTGCGCTGATAAATAAGCTACGCAGATGAACGTGTGTAAGCCATTAGTATGCTTTTGTATGGGGGAGGGGAGGGGGGCTGTGAAAGTGTCGAACTTTGATTTCTTTGCCCGTAGAGTATATGTGCTATACTGCGTGCGCTTAGCGTACACACCGATAATGCTTCAAGATTGATCAAGATTCGGTTGATTGGCCCACTGCCTGTCTGGCAGCTGTAACGTGAAGCTGCAGCCGACGTCTGTATAAACCATTACGTACACAATGACAGCGGACTCATTTCTACTTCTTAATGTATGGTCCTGATTTGCAGTTGTTGGGAATGTACTTTATCAGTGATTAGCTGTACTTGTCAATTAATATTCCTTTGTATTACAGCTGTAATAAGTGCTCGAGCTTTTGTTCTTGTCAGGTTTTGTATTAGCACGTGCACAGCGTTTCTCTTCTTCCCAATCGCACAAATGCCATCATTTGGCGAAAAAATGACATTCGACGATTTCATGAGTGATGCCAAAGCCTCTTTTCACGGTTGGTGCAGGTGCAGATATAGTTTATTGTCATAATCGGCAACTGATCTGTCCCAAATCAGGTCACGGCAAGCCAAATCAAAGGAAGTGGAAGAGCAAGAAACGAAGAAAAAGAAAACTACCGTCTCCAAGAGCGTGGAAGCAAAGAAAACTGCGCCACCAGATACTACAGCAAAGTCCGACAATAAGAAAGCAGAGACAGGTATCAAACACCCTTTAAGTCGGGCGATGGGCTATCGCTTATGGCCCAAACTTGGTTGGCTGCCTTTTAGTAATCGGCATGTCGTGCGTGAAATGGGCGTTCATTCATTTGTGTATGCGGTGCTGCAAAGAGGCTGGTCTCAATTGGGAGCGTGTTCCTATTTGCTTTTGTTTGCAAGTGTTTGCAACCAGTGTTGTTTGGAAACAAAGCTGTGCGATCTGCACCACATGCCTTTGTTTTTCACGTTGCCCAGACCCGTCCTGACCCGCTGTGTGCCCGTGTGACCCCAGAGGTCTTACCGTAGGCTGTCCCCACCCTCCCTGACCCGCTGTGTGCCCGTGTGACCCCAGAGGTCTTACCGCAGGCTGTCCCCACCCTCCCTGACCCGCTGTGTGCCCGTGTGACACCAGAGGTCTTACCGCAGGCTGTCCCCACCCGTCCTGACCCGCTGTGTGCCCGTGTGACTCCAGAGGTCTTACCGCAGGCTGTCCCCACCCGTCCTGACCCGCTGTGTGCCCGTGTGACTCCAGAGGTCTTACCGCAGGCTGTCCCCACCCTCCTGACCCGCTGTGTGCCCGTGTGACTCCAGAGGTCTTACCGCAGGCTGTCCCCACCCTCCTGACCCGCTGTGTGCCCGTGTGACACCAGAGGTCTTACCGCAGGCTGTCCCCACCCTCCTGACCCGCTGTGTGCCCGTGTGACTCCAGAGGTCTTACCGCAGGCTGTCCCCACCCTCCTGACCCGCTGTGTGCCCGTGTGACTCAGAGGTCTTACCGCAGGTTGTCCCCACCATCCTGACCCGCTGTGTGCCCGTGTGACTCCAGAGGTCTTACCGCAGGCTGTCCCCACCATCCTGACCCGCTGTGTGCCCGTGTGACTCCAGAGGTCTTACCGCAGGCTGTCCCCACCATCCTGACCCGCTGTGTGCCCGTGTGACTCAGAGGTCTTACCGCAGGCTGTCCCCACCATCCTGACCCGCTGTGTGCCCGTGTGACCCCAGAGGTCTTACCGCAGGCTGTCCCCACCATCCTGACCCGCTGTGTGCCCGTGTGACTCCAGAGGTCTTACCGCAGGCTGTCCCCACCATCCTGACCCGCTGTGTGCCCGTGTGACTCCAGAGGTCTTACCGCAGGCTGTCCCCACCATCCTGACCCGCTGTGTGCCCGTGTGACTCAGAGGTCTTACCGCAGGCTGTCCCCACCATCCTGACCCGCTGTGCGCCCGTGTGACCCCAGAGGTCTTACCGCAGGCTGTCCCCACCCTCCCTGACCCGCTGTGCGCCCGTGTGACTCAAAGGTCTTACCGCAGGCTGTCCCCACCCGTCCTGACCCGCTGTGCGCCCGTGTGACCCCAGAGGCGGACCGGGCGGGCGGACCGGGCGCCGGCCGTCTCTCACTGCCCGACGATGACTACAAGTCAGTACGGGAGCAGTTCGGCGCCGACGAGTACTGCTACATCATGGACGCCAAGACCATTGGCAACCTGGGCCGTTACCTAAACGTGAGCCACACCGCGTGACGGCGCCGCGCTCCGTCGCGTGATGGGGCCCGCGCTCGGTGGGGGTGCGCTGTGCTGTGATTGTGCTGGGTCACGCTCGGTGATGTGAAACATCATAGGGTTGGCTTCCAGAACCATGGTTCATAATGTTGGACTCATTATAGGGGGTGTCCCCCTTTTATATGGGGTTTTTGGGGTGAAAGCATCATGTTGAAGACCTTTTGGTGCAGTTCACAGCCCTGCCCTTCTTAACACGCCCTGGGGTGGGGGGTCAAAGTGACCCCCCGAAGGTTTTCCGGAATGGTTTCCGAACGGTGCGGTGTAGCCGCGCCAGTTTTGCACAGCTGTAGACAATTGCATAGCGGATCGTTTAACATCAAACATTTAGGTGTACTCTCGATGGTCACTGACCTATGGCAGGTCAAAGTCAGGCCATGGTTTCAGCGAAGACAATTTCTAGGGAGTCCTTCAATCTGATCTAACAACGGAGTGTTAGACAAAGCCATACATCTCTGAAAGACTTTCTTAGGCAACACAGCAGTTGAATGAGCAAATTACATTGACCTAAGGTCAGATATAAAGGTCACACCAAGGTCAAAACCAACTTGTTTTGTTACTCTAGGGCTTGCTGTATGGAGTAGTTGCTGGTGCTCATTTCGAATTTATTGATAGCAGGAACCGCGTTATACATCTTCCATGGACTTCTTAGAGGTCAGAATAGGTCTGACCTAGAATGACCGACGTCAACATTTTGTTTTAGGAACAAACTGCCTAGCGTAATCTTTGTCGCTTAGTCAAATGCAAAAGTCAAGGCAATCTTGCATTGTTTTGGTCACCTTGGCCTTCAAAAGGTCAAACAAGATCACTCACCTTGAATGAGCATGTGACGTTTTGCTTAAAAACGGTTAGCTAGGTTCTGGGGACACTTTGGAGACCAGCCTGGAACTTGACCTTGACCAAGCCATGCGTTGATCAAGGTCGAAAAAAGTTGGATGTTGGAGTCGTTCATATCTGGCGTTCGTGAGCTCGAATTTCATATGTAATGGTCGTCAGTCGGCTCTCAACCAGTGTTGTGCAATGTCCGATGACGTAATCAAACAGTGACTCATCGAAGAACATATTTACTAGACAAAGAAATTGTGTTGTCTGGAGCAGTCCTTTCTACTTGAAATTATACCAAAAGTTACAAGTGAACGTGTTCCATCATATTTGATGTTTGATTCAAAATCTTCAAATGTGAAACATTCCTGTTAAGCCACTACGTTTCTTAGACAAAGACTTGCACAGAAGTTCGTGCTATCAAAGGTACGTGCTGCAAACAGGTTCTTAAATGTTCGTGAGCGATGTGGCTCGCAACGATAGGCGTTGGATTGGAAAAGATTCTTATGCAAAAGATGAGTTTATGTATGTTGGTGTTACCTAAATTCGGGCTCGTCACATGAACCAGTCATCATTGAATGCAATCGGGAATGGATTTTATTCGTATTGAAGGTGTGCCGTAGCAATTGTTGTATGCAACAAGTTTGCAAACAAAATAGTTCACGGAAGTGTAAGTTCTGGGCGGCAGTGGGCTCTTCAAGACATTTTTCTGAATCTGACGCGCAATAGAAATGATCGTTACTGTTAAAGGTGTAATAGGAAACTTACACGAGGTGAAATTTGGGAAGTTAGAACCGTACACGCAACCTCGCCTTAAATCTTCCTGGAGTTTAATTTCTGCTTTGGCCTAAACCACTAGGTCCTGACCCCACCAGTCCTAGTGGTGGCTACGCCCATGGATCGGCCCTGGGCCAAATGTGTTTATGTATCTTCCTGACAAGAATTTTACCCAATGCTTGTGTAAATGGGCTGGTCATTTCCAGGTCAAACAACATTTGTATAGCCATATGCCCGCGCGCCTTTCAAAATCTGCGGTTACAGAGACGCCCAGTGTAAGGTTAAGCACCTTCGCATGTAAGGCAGCATACACCTACCGTGCTCTGTCTGCTCGTGCCCGGTATCAGTGCGCAGCTTTGCCAGGCCTGCGACGAACAGCGGGACGGGCGGACAGTGGACCGTTCTGATGGACTTGTATGCTCGAGTGACTTGGCTTCAGGTGGTGTCGCCCCTAGTCCGTCTGTCCCCGGCTCCCGTCCGACCGTGTACCATGTCTTTCACAGCACAGCTGCTCGCCGAACGTGTTCGTGCAGAACGTGTTCGTGGACACGCACGACCTGCGCTTCCCATGGGTGGCGTTCTTCGCGCTGTCCTACATCCGCGCCGGCACAGAGCTTACCTGGGACTACAACTACGAGGTTGGCTCGGTGCCCGGCGAAGGTGATGTACTGCCCACTGCGGCAGTCAGGAGTGTCGCGGCCGCCTGCTGTAGCGCCCTGCTCACGGGCGCGTTGCAGCGGCCGCCGACCGACTGGTGATGTTCTGCCACTGCGGGCAGTCAGGAGTGTCGCGGCCGTCTGCTGTAGCACCCTGCCTCATGGGCGCGTGTCGGGAGCGGGCGGCGGCTGCCGACGGACCGGTGACTGTACTGTCGATGCGGCGGTCAGGAATGTCGCGGCCGCTGCTGTAGCGCCCTGCTCACGGGCGCGCGCAGCGGCCGCCGGCTGTAGTGCTCTGCTACAATACATCCCGGAGCGATGTACTGCCACTGCGGCACGTGATCTAGGATGATGAAGTCAGGAATGTCGCGGCCGCCTGCTGTAGTGCCCCGCTCACGGACGCGTGTCGGGAAGCGGACGGCGGCAGCGGGAGGCGGGTCTGGTCTGTGCGTCTGTATGTCGAGGGTGGTCCACCCCGGCGCGGCTCGCTCGGGAGGACACTGTCGTCCATACTGCGGCCGGCGGTAACGTCACGCGGCGGCGCTCACCTGGCCTCTGGGAACAACCCTGGTGTGGCTGTACACCGGGCTTGATTAGTCGAGAATAAACGTTGGTGCGCCCTCGGACACAGAGGACGCCCGGGTAAGTATGGCGTCTTGGTTGTTTCCTCGAAACTTTTACGATGTTCGTCAGTTCTATGCCTCCGTGTACCCTGCGCTAGTTGGCCATTTCTGTTGTAATCGTATGTATGATCTCAGGTGCTGAGTAACCATTGGCTGGAGCTCTGCTCCAAGCTGTCTGTAATACAAACGTTCACAATTGATTGTGCGTTGTTTTTTTTAGCACAAACCACTCGTGCTCACATTTTGTGATCAGCTGCACGTAAGGGAACCTACAACTGGTTGGCTGAAACGGCCGTTGGAAAATATTTCATTCAAAATTGTTCCATGGGCTTGAAATTGCTTAACTCCAGATACATGTCATTATCATTCATGGAAGTGTTAAGCAAGACAACTTTTCCTAACTAAAACATAGTCCCAACTCACTGCATGCAGGCGATTTACATACGTCGGATCACCTGCATGTTTCAGTCGAGTCATCCTGACGAACAATCAGTAAGGTCCCTTTCGCGGGGCGAGGCCAGCGAAACAACAGACGTGTTAGTGCGGGTGATAAAAAATGTAAACCAGTCTGAATGGGGCAAGTGTCCTGGGCACCCACACGAATGGATTTTGCAAAGTGCATGGCATCACCAGTGGCTGCAAACGCATGGTTTTGTGAAAAGTGCCCAGCTGTGCGAAGCCGCTGGAGCTACGTAGTTTACGGCTGGTGGACATTGGTTGGGTTGGGTTTACCGAAGAAGCGTATCTAGATGACAGACGCATACAGTAACGGTACAGTCTGATCAGTTTTGCATGCTTCCTTTCGATAGTATTTTCCTTTAGCGTAATGAAACTGCCAAATTTATCTGTAGCACGAGCCCGATGGGAGGTGAGTAGGTCTAACACTCGATCCACTCGATCATGTTTGTGACGTGTTCAGCGCCTCGGTTTCACTCGTGCGCAAGCTCTGATAAAGTGGCACGACGCGAAGGCATTCGTGCGGATGATCGGTCAAATATCGGGATTATCCGGGATGCTCGTCCGTCACATATCGAGATTATCCCGGCGGATGCTCGTCCGTGGCATATCGAGATTATCCCGGATTCGGTTGCGCGATGCCGTCCGTGTCCAGCCTTCTGGGCTCTTCATGACTGCATTGCGGCGTCTGGTCGAATCTAGCCAATGCTGAGTCCAACCCACCCGTGGTTCTGCCCCTCGATCTCAAAAAGCGTCCGTATCATAATGTCCACAGTTATAGTGCCCGCGAAATAGTTCCACGTGTGTCCGCTAGGTACGTTCGAATATAATAGGTAACCAGGACCCGATTTGGAGGGCTCCCAACGATCGAGTGTGCCCAAGCAGGTTAACAGACGGGGTCCGCGACATGGCCGAAGAGCCCTCCGCAAGTGCTAGGAAATTGGAAGGGCTCTAGACCAATGAAGAGGGTCCATTAGCACATCGTGAGTGTGTCGTTAGGTTAACCGAGACCAATGTGAATGGCCCCTGGGCATACGAGGGTACCCCGGTAGGTTAACATGTGGGTCTCTGCTAAAGCATACAGAGTCTTTCGGGCGAATGAGAAGAATTCGTGGAGGGCCTCTGATCGACAGCAGATAGGGCCCCGACAGGAGTGTATGGCCCTCCGAACAAATGCAAAGAAATCAAGGGAAACGTGGAAGGCTCCCTGACGATCGGATCGCCGCTGCAAGTGGAGATACAGATCCTGTGGCAGCGGCGTGGGGCCCCTGCACGCCGTAATGAGCCCTACAGTCTTCCAATTACCACCATCTCGATCAGCAAAGAATAGTTAATGTCTGCCCGTGTATAGGCTTAGGAACGTTTCAAAAAGTGGGGGGGGGGGGCGGCAAGCTCAGGGTGTACTTCAAAAACTTTTTCTGGAAAGCGCGCTCGATAACCAGGCGGGGGGGGGGGGGGGGGGGATAGGGATGGAGATTTTCATCGCTCTTTATTCAAATGTCTGGCTGCTATGCATCTAGAGCTGTTTATCACTGATGCACAATCTTGCCTATTCGACTCATCTGTCATTTGGCAAATAAGGCTATCCAGCTTCCCTAGATTATTCGCCCATTTTAACATTATCTTTACTGGGGAGACGAAATTCCACGAGCGGGTAGGTATTTTAGGTCATTAAGGAAGCATTTGCCTCCACAGTGTAGATGCCAAAATACGGCATGGATATAGACTGGTGAGAATTTTGAAAGGGGATCGATGGCTCACAGTGCGCCAGGTTTTTCATGCGCCTTCATTTCGCTGGCTGCTTTTCAAGAAATAAGACCTGTCGCAGCATTTTAGGCGGAAACAATTCGGGAGCTTGAAACTGCTAGAAACCATAAAAGCTATAAAACCGGAGATTCTCTTTTAAGAATCAAGTCACATAATAAGGCCCATCTGTCATACGCTCCTTATCTGGGCCCTGTTCCTGTCCGCCGTCGGTGGTCACTGCCCTGGCCTGGGTGTCTCGCGCATGACTGACTGCGAGCTAATCGTGTGTCTACTTTGTTGCATACTTATGTATCAGCGTTACTTCTACATGGTGTATGAAACATGTGTTGGACACCTGTAACAGTATTTTTCCCGAATTATCTTCCCTTATACCACACCATCGCAGAAAAATAGCCTCCGGGAAGCTGACTGCCTTAGGTATGGATTGGCCCAACGGACGCTTCATTGCCCATCATGCAACGTACGCAACTTGATCTGCTTTTGTGTGTGGGCAGGGACTTAGCCAGAGCCTTACCAAGAGGGAACACAGGGTTGATAAAAGCCGATATTATGGCGATCCCCCCAAATCCCCGGATATGGCTGGATTGTTAACAGGTGACACGGTTTTCTTCGTTTTATTGTTATTTTATCTTGTAACCAGAACAGAAACCAGGAGTCACCGTGACTTCAATTGTTTGCATTTTGAAGTCAATAAGCTGCAGAAAGCAGGCGTTGAACGACTGCGTGGAAGAAATCACCGGCGGTCTTAATTTACAATGGTTAGCCGACTCTTTCCAAACCGATAAAATTCAGAAGCTTTGTCAATTTTTTATCTGGGTTCTACAGACCTTGAGAACATCGCGAATGTACATTGTAGATCGATACGTTTGATCCAAACTTGAAGACGAAAATTTGATTGCAAATCAAATGGTCACCAATGTGTATTAACATGGCCAAGCCATGTGTTGTCTGAAAATGTTCACCATTCAGTCAGAATCGATTAGTGGTGCAACTCATATAACGTGTTTCTTAACGTGCTCGCTCGCAAATCTTAGCAACAAAAACCTCGACACCAGGCGTCGCAGTCTCCGTAGTTAGTTGTAGTCTCCATAGTCTCATAGTCTCCATAGTTAGTAGTTAGTAGTAGTTAGTAGTAGCAGTCTCTGCGGAGCGTTAGCCCAGTAGCTAGCAGTTAGCCGTGGCCCACCGATGGACGAAAATGATGACGCTTCTGAAATGATTACCTTTAAACACTTTAATCAACTAGTTATACAAGTTATGTGGCGTAATTTGGAGCATGCGCACTTGAAAATTTTAGAAACACAAGCCTTGCCCCCGGGCGTTGCAGTCTCCATAGGCCGCGCAGCGTCGGTTTAGCTGCTAATATTAAGTTGTGGCCAACGGGTGAACGAAAATGACGACGTTTCTGAGAAAGTATCCTCGGACGCTTCATGGCATCAGATTTTGTATTTAGAAGGCAGTCTGAGGATATTTCACGCGTGCAATTTTTAGGTTGATGAAAAGAACGGATTAGCCCCTAAACCTATGCCTTTCGATGTCATTTGTATCAATAATACATTCTGACAGAAATGAACGTTCTCAGGCAAGCGTGGCATGACCTTGCTCGGTTTTTTAATTCATTTCGACCCGTGCTTTCAACATTAATGAGAGCCCCACCCTACTCAACAATAATGAGACCCCTTATTCCCTTACGGCCAAGGGGCCTCTTGAGAAGAACACCAGGGGTACATTACCGTTTCCGGTCAAGGGCTGAAGGGCCATTCCGTCACATCGCGAAGTGTCTTCTGGCTATCATTCTGGTGGCACGAGGCGAGATCTCCCGGTCGATCCGGAGGTCATTAGGATATATCATATCACATTGTTCCCATCCCTGACACGGGAGGCCCGCTGATCCGAGCAGTTAGCCCCGGATCAGCACAGGGGCCCTCACTGACGCAACAACATCCCTGATCACCGCAAGCAGTCCGATAGTTTTCACATAGACTCCAGTTCCATGTTTTTTCTGTGTTCTTCAGAGATATTGAGTTCTCCCCGACTGTAGATTGTAGATGAAATGGGGTTCACAATTTGTATTAACATGGCTAGCCCATGTTCGTCTTATAATGCTCAAGATCCTGTCAGAGCTGATTACTGATAAGAAAACTACGTAATATGGTGTTGAAGATGCGTACTCGCAAGTCATAGCAATAACAGCCTCGACGCCCAGC